CAGACATACCGCTATGCCACTGGGGAGCAGAAAGGAATGTTTCAAAGGAAAAGTGTTTAATAAAATATATCAATTTGTTTTTGTTTGTAATTAAGTACAAAGCTACACAATTGGCTATCTGTGCTCTGCCCACCACGGGTATCGAAACCCAGTTTCTAGCGTTGTAATTCCGCAAACATACCGCTGTGCCACTGGGGGGCTAAAAAGAGAGAGAGACGAAATATTTCCTAAACATAGTCCAAATGTTTATTCATTTAAAGTCAAAACTTCAATCTCAATACATACCGAATCATTCATAACGAACGAAATAGCTCAGCTTTTGCTCCTAGTAATATAGTTCACGTACTCGAAAGGCTCTAATACACCGAAAAGATGAAATGATAAAGTTCTAATGTTAACCAACGTCCTTCCTATAAAAGTTTACTATGGAAGTTGTTGGAGAGACATTTTTTTTTTCAATTCTATAACATTCTAACAGATTGTTCTTCTCTCCTGCTTAGAATATCCAAATCTTTCTCATAATTCGATTTTGGTTTGAATCTTAAGATAGCACATTTTTATATAAAAATTCGAAAAAAAGGGTATAATTACGAGAAAAATCGTGGATTCACACAAACCTTCTAAATCCAGTTGAGCTCTCAGTGTTTAACACAGATATGGAGGATGTTTCTTATGTTCTGAGATGATGTCATAAATTCTTATATCTTGACACCAATTGTACAAGAAAAATGGCGAGAACCTCCATACGCAATAGGCAATAACTTTAAACTTTGAAGCCTGAGATAACTAGCTAAGATAGTCACAATTCACGCTGACGCACGTAGTAATTTTTTTTGTTATATATGTTTCTTGCAAATATATTAATATATATATATATGTATGTGTATGTATATTGTATGTTGGATATATTTTAGTGTATTTCAGTATATTTCCTTCTAAAAGACTTTTTAAATCGAAACGTTTATTTCCCCAAATTAATTTTGGTTTTATTTACTCTTCAAAGAGAATACTTAGGGTACCATTAGCAAAAACTTTAGTCTAAACAATTGGTTAAATTGTCCTGAAATGGCCCGGCATGGCCAGGTGGTTAGGGCGCTCGTCTCGCAATCTGAGGGTCGCGGGTTCGAATCCCCGTCACACCAAACATTCTCGCCCATTCAGCCGTGGGGGCGTTATAATGTGACGGTCAATCCCACTATTCGTTGGTAAAAGAGTAGCCCAAGAGTTGGCGGTGGGTGGTGATGACTAGCTGCCTTCCCTCTAGTCTTACACTGCTAAATTAGGGACGGCTAGCCCTCGTGTAGCTTTGCGCGAAATTCAAAACAAACAAACAAACAAAGGTTTCGATGTGTTTTGGCAATGTAAAGATTCATGCCCTTAAAGGTGTAAACTTAGAACAAATATAAGTTCACACTCTTGCTATTTATCAAATGTTGTGTATTTATAAATAGAGCGGAAAGTCTTGTAATTGTTATAATATAGGAAAATTAAAATGAACTGTTAACAGACTCACTTACATTGAGATAATTTTATGAATATGATGTTTAAAAAAAAACAACTGTTCAAAATGTACACATTTACAATTAAACTTACTTGTGTGAAGTAAAATATTATTGTTTAAGATTTTATTATTCTATAGCGAGTGTGAAATCGTGTTTTCTGACGAATTGTCTAAATTCACACTTTCGGGGATGTAGCTTGTAAATCAGTATTTCACACTCATAACATTGTAAAACATCCTTTTTTTTATTTATGTACGTTGCACATTAATTTAATATCTGGTAGTGATCCGTAACGTCCTCAGTGCATCCAAAGCTGCATTCATTTTACAACCTAATAATATTCACGCCTATCAAATATTTTAACATAATATGAAGTATGTTAATGGAAGATAAGAAATTACACATGCATATTATCATGAATATATTCAAAGGTTTGGATGTGTTTTAAAAATAAGATTCAAAGTGATAAACGTGGCACATGGTTTGGGACTTTTGGAAGTGTCTACGTTAGTAATTATGAAGAAGAAAGACGTTTTTTATATATATTATGTCAGTAAGAAGAAGTTAGTTCAGAGAAGCTCTTATTTATATTTACGTCATAGCACCGTGTACCCATTCTCACACGTCATGACTGCAGTAGACCCTGGTATTCCATTAAGAACTATTAACCCCTACCCTTTAAAATGGGCCTGTT